AAAGAATAAATATGAAAAACAATAAATAAATTACTTACCCAATCTTCTTTTTTTCTTGCTGTTGATTGTCGATGACACTTAACTCTACTTTTACTTTTTTATAACAATGGTAGTAATGCACTAAATTCTTATTTAATTAAATAATGCACCAAAAAACATAGACTAATAATATTAAAAAATAAGACAATTTCCTCTAACAATCAAATTTTTCTGGCTTTCTAACTATGCAACAAGAGCTAAATTCATCCAAGGTAGCCATTGTCATTCCCGTGGTAACCAAAGTTAAATTACAAGTGAAATTGACACTGTTCAGAACAGAATGTAATATAATATGTCATTTGATAGATGAAAACTTTGACTTTGTATTGGTTACAGGTAATATTTAATTAAACATAAGAAAGAACTATTAACAAATCCTGAAAGAGAGGATGTGGCTGGAGGGGTGTGTGATTTTCTATTTGACAGATCTGTAACCAAACACAATTTAAGGCTATAAAAATTATGGTTTGTCTGAGCAAGAACAATTTTATAGTGTAATTTATGTTTAATTTCATACTTATTGAAGGGGTGGTGGATAAAATAACGAGGATGTGACTAGTGAAAATGTGTCACATGTCACACTACGGGAAATTCAGGATTTTCTTAAATATTGCCTTATAAAATGAAGAACTTAAAACTTATATATTGTTAAAATATGGGTTATTAGTTAAAATTTGATGCTATACTAATTGGTACAACATAAACAAAAAGTAGATACTCGTGGCGATAGGCTTAAGCGAAAGATGGTACAATGAACAAGAGGTTAAATGTGGGAAAAGGTCTGAAGAACAACATTTAGGTCCTAATCAGGAAGGACGGCAGGACAGGTGAAGAGAAGACACTATGAGAATGGAAAAATCAGAAAATATTCAACAGAGCAACCCTGTAGCCAGCAGTGGTTGAAAGTAATAAGACCTGGTCATACAACCAAGTGAAAAACACAAGTAGGTGGGGAACAGAGGGGCAGGAAGGGGGAGAAGCCACAATGCAGAGACCAACAATAGAAAATGCACCACCTCCACTAATATACATGGAGGGAGGAAGAACAAATTGAACAGGAAAGAAGGAACTACACATGAAGAGAGTACAGTATGTCTTGCAAGGGACCAAACAAAACCCATGAATGAAGACAGAGTGCAGATATTGTTGGATGGGAAAGGGAGAAATACAGTTGAAGGACGAGGAATTGGGAGAGATGAAGAGGAGGACTGTAGGAGGTTCAAGAGAGGAAACCACGACTGAGCTGGCAGAATGGATCATTAAGAGACACTCCAGATTGTTGAAAGAAAATGATCCAAACCCGATGTACCACCAAGAATTCCAAGAGACTGATGTGAGGAGTCGATTTGAGATTTGACCACTGACCTGAATCTCTTGAGAGTCCAAATATTCCCCCACCTTGTCATGGATGCATCTGTAAACTGATGAAGGTCCATTTGAGAAGAAGGCAAGAGGAACACCCGCTGAGGTATTGACTTCATCAAGCCACCAGTTGAAGTCTACCTGCAGGGAAGGTGGAAGGTGAATGATGGAAGACAAGGGATCCCGAGTGAGATTCCACTGATCATGCAGACACATATGAGCATGACCCAAAGAGATAAGGGATTCCATGGAGGCCCAAGTCTTCAAAAGAAAGCAAGCCTCCCATGCAGTGAGAGAAGGATAGAATATGGTATT